TGGCCAAAGTATGGGCGCTTCAGCTTCAGTATTGGTCTTTCCAGTGAATATTCGGGGCTGATTTCCTTTAGGATTGATTGGTTTGATCTTATAGTCCAAGGGACTCTCAAGAGTCTTCTCCAGCATCATAATTAGAAAGTATCAGTTCTTCAGTTCTCAGTCTTCTTTACGGTTCAACTCTCACAATGGTACATGACTACTGGAAAAGCCATAGCTTTGACTAGATGGACCTTGGTCAGCAAAGTGATGTCTCTGCTTTTTATTTATTTATTTATTTATTTTTATTTATTTTTATTTTTTCTATTTTTTTTCCATTTATTTTTATTAGTTGGAGGCTAATTAATTTACAACATTGCAGTGGTTTTTGTCATACATTGAAATGAATTAGCCATGGATTTACATGTATTCCCCATCCTGGTCCCCCCTCCCACCTCCCTCTCCACCCGATCCCTCTGGGTCTTCCCAGTGCACCAGACCCGAGCACTTGTCTCATGCATCCAACCTGGGCTGGTGATCTGTTTCACCCTAGATAATATACATGTTTCGATGCTGTTTAATCTGCTTTCTAGGTTTGTCACAGCTCTCCTTCCAAGGAGCAGATGTCTTTTATCATGGCCACAGTCACCATTCACAGTGATTTTGGAGCCCAGAAAAATAAAATCTGTCACTACTTCCACTTTTTCCCTTTCTATTTGCCATGAAGTGATGCTACTGGATACCATGATCTTGATTTTTTGAATGCTGAATTTTAAGCCAGCTTTTTCACTCCCCTCTTTCACACTCACCAAAAGGCTTTTTAGTTCCTCTCTGCTTTCTGCCATTAGAGTGGTATCACCTGCGTATCTGAGGTTGTTGATATTCTCCCTGCAATCTTGATTCCAGCTTGTGCTTCATCCAGCCTGGCATTTCGCATGATGTACTCTGCATATAAGTTAAATAAACAGGATGAAAATATACAGCCTTAATGTACACCTTTCCAGTTTTGAACCAGTCATTGTTCCATGTCCAATTCTAACTGAATCTTCTTGACCTGCATACAGGTTTCTCAGGAAACAGGTAAGGTGGCAGCAAAGAAAAATTAAAACAAGATTCCTTACTCTCCTAGTTAAAATATTTTATTGTTAAGGTACACCAAATAAGCAGAAAATGAACAAGATACTATCAAAGATTAACAGATCATTGAAGGAAATTAAGTAGAATGGACTTTTAAAGAGCATCTGCTGGTGCAAAGATTAGGGTGAGTGGTCTGACAAAAAAAAACCCACTGAAGAGGTAGGGTTTGAGCTAAGATCCTAGATGACAGAAAGAAATCAGCCAAGCAACTAAGTGGACCATGAACATTGGAGGCTCATGTCTGGAAGAGCAAGTGCAAAGGTCCTAAGGAGGAATGGATTTGACTGATCTTACAAAAACGTCAGAGTCAGGAGGGGTCCAAACATTGGCCACAGGCTTATGTCCAGAGTCAGCCCTTTCTAAGGACAACTTGGGCCCCGGTGTGCTAAGTCCATCAGGAATCTAGATCTCTGAGCCACCTCCTCCCCTCCAACAGCATCTAACTCATTCCTATTAAGGCACAAATTTTAATGGAAGCATAGAGTCCTGATAAAAACCACCTGGGAGGAAGGGATCATAAAGTCCTTGGAAAGGAGTTTCCACCTCCTCCCAGCACAGTGCAGGAGAGGGGATCTGCTAAACTTCTGGATGACTAAATTTAATTTTGAAGATTTTTTCCCAAAACAAAGAAAGTTCATCAGAAAGTTAGTTGACATTTTCCAATCCTACAAACTTGACTGCTCACAAAGCCTCTTAAAATAAAAGACTGAGATTTAGCCCAAATAGGTTCCCTGCAAGGTGAGCCTGGCTTCTCCTCAGGAGAGGGTTAGGGTTATAAACTAGCTGCTGCTCTAGATGGAGGTATCACAGTGCCATCCTCAGGACCAGTGTAAAGTAATGAGACCTCAGCACACACAAGAAATACACGTCTCAATGTAGAGGAGGTTCTAGTCAGCAACAGGGTAGCTTTGAGGTATACCAACCAATTCCTTGATACACTTATCTTCACACGATGAAGATAATTCCTGTTCACATATTCTATGTCTAAACTGAACTTAGTGACACAGGAACAGAATATGGTAGAGGTGACATAGCATGACTCCTAGGACGAGGACATAAAGGTGAAGTGGCTCCCTCTTTGCTCACTCCCCTTCTCCCAGTCTAGGGAAACCCAGCTGGCCCATCATAAGGACACTCAGGCAGTCATACAAAGAGGCCCATGTGCTAAGAAACTGAGGCCTCCGGCCAATGGCCATGTACATGAGTAACAATGGGAGCTGATTCTCCAGCCTCAGTCAAGCTCTCAGATGACTGCAACCCCAAGTGATACTTGGTTATGACCTCATAAGATACCCAGGTCACTGAGCTAAGCCACTCTCAAATTCCTAACCCACAGAAACTATATCTTCTGAAGTAATAGATATTTGTTGTATTTAGTCGCTAAAGCTCTGCTTATGCTGATATCTGTTATGTATCAGCAAAAGCAGTGAGGTCTGGAAGCATTTATATTGGGGTCCGTGGCAAGGTACCAAGCCTTGAAATAAATGCAGTTTAATACCCAGATCCTATCTCCAGACTGGCATGGTATGCAAACAATGGGAAGCATATCTGAAACACATCAAATGCATCAAAGAGAGGAAACACCATTTGTTTCCATTTGGAATTATTAAAAATCATACTGATCTTATATGGTTATCATGTTTTATACTGTCACACAATACTAAGAGAATGACTTAACAGTTTGCTGACAAGCACAACAAAATACTATGACATCAAATCTGTCTCAAGACTGAAAGGGGTGAATAAAAAAATATTTATCCCAGAGTAAAGATGTCAACCCCTGTGGCAGAGACTATCAGTAGCTTTATAGCAAGCTTATTAGTCTGGGGGCAGATAGAACCTTGCCACCTTGATTACCTGATTCACTAGGCCCCAGACAGACAACATCTTTCCATGAGCCCATGTCTCTCTGTAGGTTAAAAACTTGAAAGACTGCAAACAAGCAGCATTATTTTGGAACCAAGAGATGTTATTCTCAAGCTTAAACTTTTTTACCCTCATCACATCTGCTTCCCAAAATATCAAAAATATTGAAAATCAGGAACTGTCAAAGGCCAATCAAGTCAGATGTGCCTATTCCGAGACCAGCATGTCAATAGTGTTTACACCCCTTCTTACACCACAGAGTCTAATTACCTCTGATTATATATTTAAGGAAACTTCCATACACTGTAAACACCAAAAAAACATATCCCTTCAGGTTTCTATATCCCCATCCGGCAAAGACAGAGAGCACCTAAGGCAGCTGAAGTCCTTGACTAGGACTCTTCACCTGTGGGCTAAAGGACAGGGAATAAACAATGACAACAATCCTGAGCAGCATCGTATCTTTCTTTTATTGCCCATCTTGCCCATCTCATCATCCTCTAAAAACCTCAAGCCTACGAGACAGTGTTTTATGGAAAATTAAAAATCCATGTAGCACTGGCGCTACCAAATACAACCCCCCATAAACTGACTTGGGGACGGATGGTTCCACAATTCTTTGCCAGATTCAGGGGCAACTGCTAGAGGTGGAAAAACTATAACCAAAGAACTGAGTGAGCAGGACACTGTCCCCAGTATGGCCCTTTGGAGAAAATTATTATGGTTGGGTTTTTTTTCCCTCTGTCCTTAGGGAGCTTTCCAGTGAGTCCCAGGGAATTCTTGCAGCTCAGAATCTCATCTGTTTTTCCCTGTGTTCCTGTCACCATAGCCATAGAGTCAAGTGGTTTAAATTCCCAGTGGGCAAACTCCAACCATTTCAGTTTGGGTTTTTATTCCCAGAAGAGACTAGGCTTCAAAATCACCCAGTAAACAAAGACAGCATTTTTAGAGGGCTTCTCTCATGGGAGATTTCATGATTAGTGGAGCTACTGGGGAGAGCTGGGGATCTCAGGGAGTACAAGGACAAGGCAAATAACTTGAGAGGGATGTTATATTTTTATACAGAGAGAGACCCTAGAGTCCTCTCAAACAGAACAGTCAGAAAAAAATGATTGTCATTTTTCTAGTATTTAAAAGATGCCCATGATAAGCTCAGTAGTGAATTCAGTATTTCAAGAACACAATTAAAAAAAAAAACAACAGACAACTGGCACTGGTTACCAAGAAGCTTTTATCTTCAACTCAGTAAAAATGAATTAGTAAATCATATACCCTTATGTTTATATATTTATTCACTTATTAGGCATCTTTTACATACCAGGAATTGTGCTAAGTGTTAAGTGGGCATTGTTGAACATAGAAAAAGACATGATTCCTGTGTTCTTAGAGTTTATAGTCTAGAGGGGGAGATAGAAATTAAATGGATATAGGGGGTAGGGAGAAAGAGAGAAAGAACAAAAACATAGAAGTAAGTAACTGAGAGCTAGAGACAGTTATATTAAAATGCTGAAGTTGATCCAGTCAGGGAGGACACAGAAATCTTCTAGGAAGGAATGCTGATTGAACTGAATTCTGAGGAAACAATCTCTGGATTATCTGGGGGCTGGGAGTGAGGATAACATAAGATAAAAGGAAAGCCTGTGTACAAAGGTCCTGTGGCAGAAAAGGAGAAGAGCATATTTAAAAACTGAAATGAGGCCATTACAGCGGCATTGTAAAGATCGAGAAGCCTGGTGTAAGGGAAACCTATAAAGAGGAACAAGGGGCGGACTACAGAGGGCCTTCCAGACCAAGTATGCAAAGAACCAAGGGTCCCTATCCTAATGTAAAGGGGGATCTACGGGAAAGGTTTAAGAAAGCAGAGACACAACTAGATCTTTCTTTTAAAGGCACCCTTCTGGCTATAGCCTAGACAGTAAAGAGCAGGACGGCCAGAGGACATTTAAGGAGACTGTGGGGTTCAAGTGAGGGATGGATACTTGTGCCAGTGTGGTCCCTGGGCCCAGATGCCAATTACTGACCTGCTTTTCAGCCCCACACCTGCCTTTCCATCCTCTGCTCTATTCTGCTTGGCTGGGGGTCTGTGAACCCTAGCAGCTGTTGTTGTTGGTTAGGTGCTCAATCATGTCTGACTCTTTGTGACCTCATAGGCTGTAGCCCACCATGTTCCTCTGTCCATGGGATTTCCCAGGCAAGAATAGTGGAGTGGCTTGCCCTGTCCTTCTGCAGGAGATCTTCCCCACCCATGGATCGAACCCATTTCTCCTGCATTGGCAGGGAGATTCTTTACCACTGAGCTGCCAGGGAAGCCTATGAACTCCCTCTCCCAGTGTGTTAATTTCTTCTCAATAAATCCTCCTAGAATACTTCATGATGCTCATCATGTGGTTGGAATGGTACAGAAAGTTCAGGGGGATCTCTCTGGATTTGAACAGACTGCAACTATAATGCAGCCTCAGTTTGAACTGGGTTGTGTCATTTTTTTGTTTGTTTGTTTTGGAAGTTACTGTTCTATCCTTGACTCATAATAATCAAAGAAGAGATCCTGAAAATACAGTGTATACCATCGGTCTTAAGGAGAATTAAAGGAGAAGAAAGAGAAGGAAAAGGAGGACAAGAAAACAGACTAGGGTGACTCCGCCCTAAAGTATCTTAAGAACTAACTGGAGGAATTCTATATAAGCCCATGGTGTGATGAGAAATCACCACAGCTGATAAATATTGAAGGCTATAATATAATGTATTATACTGGCACTCAAGGTAGGAATGGAGTCCTTAGTCTGGAGATAACGTGAGAAAACTTTGGCATTGAATAGCGTTTGACCTTGGGCTCCCCTGGTGACTCGGTGGTAAAGAATCTGCCTACAATGCAGAAGACCCAGGCTCAATCCCGGAGTCAGGAAGATCCCTGGAGGAGGGCATGGCAACCCACTCCAGGACTCTTGCCTGGAGAATCCCGTGGACAGAGGAGCCTGGTGGGTTACAGTCCATAGGGTCCCACAAAGTCAGACATGACTGAAGCCACTAAGCAGAAGCAGCAGCATTTGAACTTAAGTTTTGTGGCTCAGCTGGTAAAGAATCTGCAATGCGGGAGACCCAGGGTTTGATCTCTGGGTTGGGAAGGTCCCCTGGAGAAGGGAAAGGCTACCCACTCCAGTATTCTGGCCTGGAGAATTCCACGGACTGTCCATGGGGTTGTAAAGAGTTGAACACAACTGAGTGACTTTCACTTTCAATTTTTAGGTAGAACAGAACCTGAATATGTGGGAAAATGTAGGAAAGGTATGTCTGTCTAGGAGAATGATGTCATTCACTTACTCACTGATTTACTTTTCACATATTTATTAAGCAACTCTATATTCTTAACACTGTACTAAGTCCCGAGAAAATGTGGCTGGAAGAACTATTAAAATATCTTACCATCTAACACACGAAAATGTACAGAAAGGAAACTATGACTTTTATTGCAGGGATGAAAAGTAAGGTAGCTGGATTTTCAAGAGTGAGTTCATAAAGAAATAGAGAAAGAGAAAGGGGGGCGGGGATCGTTTGGGACCACAATGGAGAGGTATCTTTAATATCAGATCCATAAACTGATATTTCACCCTTTTGCTCCAGTTACAATAGCTGTGTTACAAAGTACTCCAAAATGTATTGCTGTGAAGCAAGCAGTTATTATGTCCACAGCTTCTGTGGGCCACGAATTCAGACAAAGCACAGTGGAGACAGCTTATTTCTGCTCCACAACACCTAGAGCTCACCTGGAAGAGTCAAAAGCTGAGATATAAGGGCTTCCCTGGTGGTTCATTACTAAAGATTCCATCTCCAGTGCAGGAAACATGGGTTCCATCCCTGACCCAGAAGATCCCACATGCCAAGGAGCAACTAAGCCTGTGTGCCACAGCTATTGAGACTGCGCTCTAGCTAGAGCCCGTGCTCAGCAACAAGAGAAGCCACTGCAATGAGAAGCCCACACCCTGCAACTATAGAGTAGCCCCTACTCGCCACCACTAGAGAAAGGCCTTACACAGCAACAAAAACCCAGCACAGCCAAAAATAAATAAATAAATAAATTACATTTTTTAAAAAGCTGAAATATGGAATCCACCAACTAAAGTCTCATTCACTTACAGTCTGGAAGCTGATGCTGAGAGCTGGCTGGGGGTTTCAGTTCCTCTTCACAAGGGCCTCTCAACATGGGCTGGCTCAGACTTTTTCAGAGCCCAGTGGCTGAGTTCCAAGGGAAAGTGCTGAGAGAGAGAGAGGAGGAAATCATATCCTTTTCATGACCTAACACTGGAAGAAAATTGCATCACTTTTGCATACTCCTGACTGAAGGACTTACAAGCCCCTTCCTATTTTCAAGGAGAGACCTCACCACTTGGTTACAGGAGTGTTGTCATATTGTAAGAAGAACATATGAAAGGAGTTAGCAGTCACTTGTAAGAAGAGGACAGGTAAGTAGGTAGGTAGGTAGATAGATAGATAGGAGATTAATCTTTGGAAAATACCATCTGCCTCACTTTTATATAACACAAAGTCCTTTGAATAGAAGAGAAATCCAACAAAATTATATTTTAGGAATATTAACCTGATAGCAAGGACAGCACACAGATGGAGTGTAGAAATGATGTAACAATTACCAAAGCAGAACTAACAAAGAATTTGGCATTTTGTCTTATTTTTGTATGAAGTTTACTATTTTGAATTTTATTCCTTTTCTGCCTCACTACTCTTGATCGGAAATTTTAATGCTATACATTCCAAAGTGTGCTCTATAGAATATCAGTCCCAGAAGATTCTCTAACAAAATAAAGACCCTATGTTCAAATAGAGGTAAACATAGTCTATACACTTAATCTCTCACTTGGAAATCTCAATGTTTCTTAGCATAGAAAAACTGCTCAGAAAGTCATCAGTAAAAGAAAAAAAATACCTGATTAAGATTGTTTTATCCAGAGTGTCACCAACCTTTTTAACCACCTTTTTAGCTTTCCCTTAACATTCTATGGAACTAGCCCAAAGACTACACAGTCCTGGCTGCCTTGGGCGGTGAAAGGCCAGGCAACTAATCAGTCAGCAAGTGCTGATCAAATGATACTTGTGGCCAATTCATGTTGATATATGGCAAAAACCATCACAATATTGTAATTACCCTCCAATTAAAATAAATTAATTTTTAAAAAAAGAATAAGACTCCAAAAATAAAGGGAACATGTATTATATTGCTAATAAGCTTTCAGTCAAATAAAGTCAAACAAACAAACAAACAAAAAACCATAATAAAAGCAATGGAAACTGAACTGTTTCAAGAAAGATCTCAATGAAAGACACTCACATGATCTCCTTGAGAACTGAGGTTTAACCAAATGAGGCTGGTTCTTGAATGCCTGTATACCTCTCAAATCTCAGGCAAGGCTAAATTTGGGATATTCTTTTACTTTCAAGTGAAAGATGAAAAAGTGTTTATTTCCCAAAGGTTGCTGTGCATTAAGATGTGACCATTGCTTGCACACAAAGAGAAAGTGAACCAGCGAAGAACTCCATGTACTGGGGAGTAAACTGCCGAAGAGGGCAGGAGAGCTTCCTATAAATCACACTGGTGTGTCCCGACAGGGCTCAGCTGGGAGAACGGCGATGCTCTGAGAGGAACAAGGTCGGTGTCATGGGCCTCTTTGTCAGTGTGATTGATCACAGACACCATTAGCAGCTTTCCTTTGTGAAAGCCTCCTTTCTTCTGTCTATTTCACCTTTTCCTACTGCTCTCCTATCTCCAAAGTCCCTGCTTCTGGCCTTTCCCAACCAATGCTTTTGTCTGAAGAAGGCAAATTCACTCAAACAGATCTCCTGACTATCTCCTGGCCTGCCAAGTGCCAAACTAACATCTGGAACTCAGGCTGCTAGGGGAGTATGGTGGGGGGCAGGCAGTGTTGTATATCCGCTTGTGATGTGTCTTTGTGAATCTAAGGCATGGCCATGCATTATTCTCCATACCTGCATCTCCTGCTTGTGGATGCAGGTATGGAGGAGACAGACAGATGGTATCAAGTATGGTTGGTGTTTTGCCAGACGAGTGGCATGGAGTAAGAAAGAGACTAGAGGTCTTTACAACAGAGAGCTTTTAGTGTCGGACCATGGATTCTGTGCTGGGAAAGGAAGTAGTCAGGATAAGGTGAGAGGGTAGAAAGTAAAAGAGTTAGGAACAGGAACAAATCAATCAGGGGTCTAGATGAAAATGAAAAGCTGAGAGGTTAGAAGGTGCTGCTCACAGGATGACAGGTTTGATATATACCTTTCAAAGGAGACAATTAATTATTGCGTAGCAGAAGAAAGAAAGGAGGCAACCCGTCCTTGCCCAAGAGAGGAACAAGCCACAAGCTCTCCACCTCGCCATCACTGACCACCTCTCGGCACACTGCCTGTGCATTTTTATGCACAGGAGAATCTCAATCCTCGTTCTGCCTCGAGATAAGCCATCTCCAATAGCCGCTTCTGTTTGTCTAACTTTGAAATATCTTGGTCCCCACCCAGGAAGGGAGGTAACAGGAAGAAAAGCAAATGGCATCCTCTTAGGTATCTATTAAGACACAGGTTGCTTGTTGTACTCTCAAGGAAGCATCCTCCCAACTCCTCTCTACTCCCTCATCAGGGTTAGAGAACTTTGGTTAAGCCTCAGAAAGTATGGGGCGCTTAGGTCTATGATGTCTTGCCTCACGGTTTTAAAACATCTACGATATTATCATCACAAGAAAAAATTTTGTTCATATTTCTTTTATTTTGTACCTATGTGAGATAATGGATGTTCACTAAACTCATTGTGATAATCATTTTATGATGTATGTAAATCAAATCATTATGCTGTACACCTTAAACTTACACATTACCATATGAGGATAATATCTCAATCAAATTGGAAGAAAAAATTTTAATAAATAAAAATAAAGAGCAATGGGGAAAAGTACATATGTATGGGTCTATCTTCCCCACTAGACTTTGGGTCATATGAGGGCAGGACAATATTTTACTTATTTTTGTTTCCTGTCACAAAAATGGCTCAGCATATACTAGGCAACCATTAATTGCCACTGAATAACTGAATAAATAAGTGAATGAATTATACCAGGGAACAGCAGACTGGCACAAATGCTATAATAACACACGCTGGGCAGACTCCCAGGGCATTGCGTCTCTTGTACGGACCAAGAGTCATAATGTTCTCTACTCACCTTGCCCCATAGGACCAACAATAGCAAGCAGGACTAAGCACTGGAGATGAAATCCCCTCTGGCCAAACAGATGTACAAGCCACCTCTAAAATATCTGGGAGTCCTCTGGCACAGACGAAACACAGTTATGACTAATGAGCTGGTATTTGCTCAGCTCCTAAAAGTCCTTGGGACCCTAGGAAATAAACCCTAGGAAAGTTCCGAGTACAAGTCAGCTGGATGGGAGGCGACTCTGTTTCTCAAGCACTAGATGCCCTGTTCCCACTTGAAGTCTGACTTATAATTGCCAACTTAATACTTCCAAAGGTGAGCATTTATTGTTGGGACTAATGGGTGCCTCCAAAAAAATATTTTTACAACTTGTTTTTGAGCATTCTGAGAAGTTCCTTTGTGGAAGCTACAAGTGGGGTCTTTGTGAGAGAATCTGCCTCCCCGCCCAGACCATGTATGCCCAGGTGACCAGCTCCGTGCCAAGAGGCCCTTCCAACCAAGGGGAACCATCTTTCTTCTGGTACTGAAACGAGTCCCTGGAAGGGCAACGTCAGCTAGAAAACCCTCTGCTTGGACAGAGGGGAGACTCACACCCACTGTTTTCAGGAATCTCAGCTGATGCTCAGGTTCTCTGGAATGAAGATGAGTGGTCACGTCAAGCCAGGTTAGCCCTCTTAGAGCTTTTCACCAACCAGAGATTTTTTCTAGATCTCTCCTCCCCACAGGGTGTCTACCCCATCATGAGGGCAGGTTAACGCCTGGACCAGAAACTGGAAATGTGTGCTCTGATAATCTTTCAAACTGGAGGTAGAAATGTGAGCAAAACCTAGGGAACTTTTTTTAAAAGTGTACATGTTTACACACCCTCCCAGAGACTCCAATAGCCCTCTTCTCATGATAAACATCATAGCTGTTCTGTTACATTTCTGTTTTATTTGCCATGCTAATACTAAGAGTAAAATTTACAGTGAGCACAGTAAAGGCAGCTGTCAGCAGAAAACTATTCTCATCATTGGAGGTGATAAGCAAGTTGTATCCATGGGTCAACTCTAGCAGTTGGCAGTGGCTGCCATGAATTCAGAAGAGTCCTGAGGTCATATCCAGATGTTCAGGTTCAATTATCGATGTCTGCCATGGGTTCAGGGTGGGGCAGGCACATGGGCCACGTATTTGCCTCTGCAGGCTCAATCCTCTACAAAACCAGAAACAAGGCTCGGGGCTCCAGTCCCTTTGCCTTCTAAGTGAAATCCCTTCTGTGAAGCCAGAAACTAGCCTTGCTGATGCAGTTGCTAAACAGTGCTTATTTAAAGATGCGACTGCTAGGACTAGGATGACATCTAAAAAGGAAGTTAAACCCTATGCTTCCTGGAAACATACTCTCAATACAAAGAAAACATCCTTGCAGAGAGGAAGAAGGAGGCTTCCTAGCAGAAACACAGCTAGGATGTCTGAGAGAGTGTTAGCAATGTGGTATCTGCCAGTTCACAGTATTTTCTTTGCATTGCTCAAAGGTAAAGTGAAAGATAACAACAGTGTTTTGAACATGTTTAGATGTTTTGTTACCAGAGGGAGCTGCAGAAAGTCTGAATTCTCTGAAATGAAAAAGAAAGAACAAAAAGGCACGTTGTGCATTTTGCTTACTGTCAGTTATTTCACAGCTTTTCTCAAACATCTGAGGCATGATTTGGAAAACAGGGGTGGAGTGGTAGATAAAATTTTAAGTGAAGACGGCTTTCATATATTTTAAAATGCCTCCAAATAAAGGTTACTGGGGACACCTCCAGGTCAGTGTCAGGTCTGTTGTTAGTCCTCATTCTGAGCTGACAGGGCCAGAGTGGGCATGGACCAGAACATCCAACTGCATTCTCCTTTTCCCCAGGTGGACAGCTCTGACAACCCATCCTTTCCGGCATCCCCCTCAGCATTTAGCAGCTTTGCTGGTGGAATTTACATCCTGGCCGGCATCTCTCTTGGGTGTGTTCATGCCTATTTACTGGCAGGTCTGCTATGTGCTGTGGGAGGAAAAGACTCCACTTGGACTGAAACAGTCTGAGTTCAGACCAAGCTCTGTGGATACACTCGGGTCATTTAACCACCTACACGCAGTTTCTTCATCTGTAAGTGAGGATAGCAACTTCTTCCCAGGGCTGTGGTGTGAGAACTGAATGACTGTTAAAGCACTCTGTGCATTAAAAAGCAAATGCAAAGCATCCAGTGCCAGATTTCCTCACTGTAAATGTCATCTCCTCAGAGAGGTCTTCCCTGACCACACTTGAAAATGATCACTTTCCTCCTCCTCCATCCCCTCTTTCCCTGCTTTCCTTTATGCTGCTTACTACTCCCTGACATTATCATGTATATAGTTAGCTGGTAATTTATTATCACCTGTCTCTCACAACAGAAACCCATGGACGGGGACTTCTATCTTATTGCCCATATGATTGCAGGCCTCAGAACAGTACCTGATCTGAAGTGGGCACTCAATGAGTAATTCTTGAATAGATGAATGGTTCTTTGCACCCCATTCCACCTAGCTGATGAAGACAGAGGCAAATGACTCTTCTCAGTGGACCATCTATCTCCCAGATAACCATCAAAAACAAACAAACAAAAAGTGGACAACTACTTACAGATAAGAACAATCCCTCTGGTTAATGTATTTGGGACATTTCACGTAACAAGGAAACATGATCAAAAGTTCATCTGAATAAATCCTAAAATAAATGGATTTTAGTGTCTCAGGAAGTTCTAAGTTGAAAAACTATAAAAATCAAAGAAATTTCTCCCTAGAAGGGAAAAGGGTGAAAAAACTAAGTAGAACCCACTCTGTTTATAAATCTGTTGCATAAGGAAAAATGCACTAAGAATGAAGGAGGCCTAACTCTGATGTGGCTCAATTCGAATAACAGGTGAACTCTTTCTCACAGTGCTGGACAGCTGACCTCAAGCAGTGCCTAAAGATGTCCGTCTCACCAAAACGGTGCTCTGGAAACTAGAAAACACAACATCAAGAAGCCTGCTCACCACCTGCTGATGTCAACTATTTCATATTCCTGTACAGAAATAATTCAATTCATAGTGCCAAGGCCCATTAAAAGTCTTCGTAATGTCCCATCAGCCATTTTAAAAGTTCATAATTTAAATAAATAAGCCCAGCTTAGAGAGCAAATCAATTTTAGTGAGGGAACCTGGAAAGCAACAGTAGAAATAATAATGAAGGACAGTTAAATTTGAACCCACTGTACCAACAATCACCTTCTAACTAACTAGTCTAACATTAAGTGAAAAAGGAGAAAATTTAGTCAGTTTTCAACAAAATTCAAAACCTGTCCCCTCTGTTTGAGAGGAGTAATGACTAACCTTCACATTTCTCATTGTAAATAAATGTTTCCGGATTCAAAAGAATCCATTTGAATTGCTCCTGAATTATTGAACAAGCTCAATCTCAATTCTTTTTTTTTTTTTTTTCAGATAACTTTTTCTCTTTTAATGTAAGTATGCCCTAGGCAGTTTTGGGAATATACTTATATTGGAAAAATAACTTGTTTATCTGAAATTAAAATGGAACCAGATAGCTTATAGTTTATCTGACAACCTTAATGGGAGGATGTCTCACATGCAGGTTGCAATCTTTTTTTTTCCTTTATTTTTATTAGTTGGAGGCTAATTACTTTACAATATTGTAGTGGTTTTTGCCATATATTGACATGAATCAGCCATGGATTTACATGCGTTCCCCATCCTGAACCTCCCTCCCATCTCCCTCCCCACCCCATCCCTCTGGGTCATCCCAGTGCACCAGCCCTTAGCACTTGTCTCATGCATCCAACCTGGACTGGCGATTTGTTTCACACTTGATAATATACATGTTTCAATGCTGTTCTCTCAGATCATCCCACCCTCGCCTTCTCCCACAGAGTCCAAAAGTCTGTTCTATACATCTGTGTCTCTTTTTCTGTCTTGCATATAGGGTTATCGTTACCATCTTTCTAAATTCCATATATATGTGTTAGTATACTGTAATGGTCTTTATCTTTCTGGCTTACTTCACTCTGTATAATGGGCTCCAGTTTCATCCATCTCATTAGAACTGATTCAAATGAATTCTTTTTAATGGCTGAGTAATATTCCATGGTGTATATGTACCACAGCTTCCTCATCCATTCGTCTGCTGATGGGCATCTAGGTTGCTTCCATGTCCTGGCTATTATAAACAGTGCTGCGATGAACATTGGGGTGCACGTGTCTCTTTCAGATCTGGTTTCCTCGGTGTGTATGCCCAGAAGTGGGATTGCTGGGTCATATGGCAGTTCTATTTCCAGCTTTTTAAGAAATCTCCACACTGTTTTCCATAGTGGCTGTACTAATTTGCATTCCCACCAACAGTGTAAGAGGGTTCCCTTTTCTCCACACCCTCTCCAGCATTTATTGCTTGTAGACTTTTGGATAGCAGCCATCCTGACTGGCGTGTAATGGTACCTCATTGTGGTTTTGATTTGCATTTCTCTGATAATGAGTGATGTTGAGCATCTTTTCATGTGTTTGTTAGCCATCTGTATGTCTTCCTTGGAGAAATGTCTGTTTAGTTCTTTGGCCCATTTTTTGATTGGGTCATTTATTTTTCTGGAGTTGAGCTGGAGGAGTTGCTTGTATATTTTTGAGATTAATCCTTTGTCTGTTGCTTCGTTTGCTATTATTTTCTCCCAATCTGAGGGCTGTCTTTTCACCTTGCTTATAGTTTCCTTTGTTGTGCAAAAGCTTTTAAGTTTCATTAGGTCCCATTTGTTTATTTTTGCTTTTATTTCTGAAATTCTGGGATGTGGGTCATAGAGGATCCTGCTGTGATTTATGTCGGAGAGTGTTTTGCCTATGTTCTCCTCTAGGAGTTTGATAGTTTCTTTTCTTACATTTAGATCTTTAATCCATTTTGAGTTTATTTTTGTGTATGGTGTTAGAAAGTGTTCTAGTTTCATTCTTTTACAAGTGGTTCAGTCTCAATTCTTAGAGAAACCTTACGTCCCTAGGTATTGACCCCAGCAGACATGAGGACAACAGTGGAGAAGATGAAGCACTGTCATATTTGTAATGGCTTGGAGGCAATGAGGAGGGAAAGCTCCACCTGGGACCAGCCTGAACCATGCTAATTCATCCACCGTCCTTTCATTGGGTCTTCATTTCCCATGATAACCTCTCTTAGTCCACCCCTTTTCACACCGCTAATACCTCCATGTAAGATGGCAATAGAGCCCTGGCTCTGCAATTTCCATCTCCAGCCTCTCTCCCAACACACCTACTGAACAGTATATTATGCTTCAAGTCCACATCTCCTATTTATACCAAACTATCCTCATTCTGTTCATCACTGTCTACCGAACCCCAAGAGACCCTGCTCTAATGATGTCAACTTTTGGCTTCTGGATCTTCTCACCAAGGAGCCCAGGCTCTCATCATATCATTTCCCAAAAATTCTAGCTGGAAGGAAAATCTATTGCATTCTTCTAGGCTCAGCTCAAATGTCGTACACATCCTGAACCCTTCCCTGATTCTCCACCAACTGTGAGTTCATCTCTTCCTGAGCAAGCAGAGCGCTCTGTCCTCCCCCTCCTCTTGGGATTTAAAGCTTTCTGTATGACTTCCTGATGGTTCCTGCTCCTAGACGCATCCCCCTCAGTGGGAGGCTCACCTCCCCCTTCCTGTCGAGCTCTCATGCCTTCTAGGACTGTCCACTCTACATCACTGCTGCTGACTTATGTTTCTTCTTCTTCTCCCCTCATCTTGCTCAGCTAGTTCTCTGAAGCCAAGTCTCCAGCCATCACTGCCACCATCCACTCCTTTCGATAAAAGCATTAAGTCCCTTCCACTCCATGCAGTCTGTGTCTCCTAGTTTCATCTATACCGACACTGAAATATGTCTAAGAGTCAAAGGTCTGTGAGCTAAACCATAAACTTGCATAGAGGTTCTGTTCTCAAAGAGCTAAAAATAATCTTACATGACAGACAAAGACAAATACTGTATGATATCACTTATATGTGGAATCTAAAACATACAATAAACTAGTGAATCTAACTAAAAAGAAGTAGACTCATGGGTAGAGAGAACGAACTAGTGGTTACCAGTGGGGAGAGGGAAGGAGAGAAAGGGGCGAGATAAGGGTAGGAGATTAAGAGGAACAAACTGTGAGATATGAAATAAGCCACAAGGATATATTGCACAATATAGGGAATATAGCTAGTATTTTATAATAACTATAAATGGAACACAGGGCTTCCCTGGTAGCTTGGTGGTAAAGAATCTGCCTGCAAACACTCTCTGACATAAATCACAGCAAGATCCTCTATGATCCACCTCCCAGAGTAATGGAAATAAAAACAAAGATAAACAAATGGGACCTAATTAAAGTTAAAAGCTTTTGCACAACAAAGGAAACTATAAGCAAGGTGAAAAGACAGCCTTCACAATGGGAGGAAATAATAGAAAATGAAGCAACAGACAAAGGATTAGCCTCAAAAATATACAAGCAGCAAATGCAGATCAATATCATAAAAATAAACAAACAAATCAAAAAATGGGCCAAAGAACTGAACAGACATTTCTCCAAAGAAGACATACAGATGGCTAACAAACATGTGAAAAGATGCTCAACATCACTCATTATCAGAGAAATGCAAATCAAAACCACAATAAGGTACCATCTCACATCGGTCAGAATGGCTCCCATCAAAAAGTTTATGAACAAAAAATGCTGGAGAGGATGTGGAGAAAAAGGAACCCTTTTACACTATTGGTGGGAATACAAACAAGTACAGCCACTATAGAGAACAGTGTGGAGATTCCTTAAAATACTGGAAACAGAACTGCCATATGACTGAGCAATCCCACTGCTGGGCACACACACCAAGGAAACCAGAATTGAGAGAGACATGTGCACCCCAGTATTCACTGCAGCAGTGTTTACAATAGCTAGGACATGAAAGCAACCTAGATGTCCAGGCAAATGAATGGATAAGGAAGTTGTGGTACATATATACAATGGGATACTACTCAGCTATAAAAAAGAACACATTTGATTCAGTTCTAATGAGGCAGATGAAACTAGAGCCTACTATACAGAATGAAGTAAGCCAGAAAGAGAAACACCAACACAGTATATTAATGAATATATATGGAACTTAGAAAAATGGTAATGACAATCCTATATGCAAGACACCAAAAGAGACACAGATGTAGAGAACAGACTTTTGGACTATGTGGGAGAAGGTGAGGGTAAGACGATATGAGAGAATAGTATTGAGACATGTATATTACCATATGTAAAATAGATGACCAGTGCAAGTTCAATGCATGAAGCAGGGCACTCAAAACTGGTGCTCTGGGACAACCCAGAGGGATGGGATGGGGAGGGAGGGAGGAGGGGGGTTCAGGATGGGGGGACACATGTACACCCATGGCTGATTCATGTCAATGTATGGAAAAAACCACAGTACTGTAATTAGCCTCCAATTAAAATAAATTTATTAATTCAAAAAAACACAATGAGATATATTTTAATAAACCTTGGATAGCAACAACAAAAAGAGAATCTGCCTGCAACGCAGGAGCCACAGGAAACATGGGTTCAATCCCTGGGTCAGGAAGATCCCCTAGAGGAAGAAATGGCTAGCCATTCCAATATTCTTGCCTGGGAAATCCCATGGACAGAGGAGCCTGACAGGCTACAGTCCGTGGGGTCACAAACAGTTGGACACAGCACACACATATTGTACATATGTAACTTACAGGTGGCGCTAGTGGTAAAGAACCTGCTGCCAATGCAGGAAACATAAGGTTCAATCAAGGTTCAAGGTTCAATTGAGACACAGGTTCAATCCCTGGGTTGGGAAAATACCCTAGAGGAGGAAAAGGCAACCCACTCCAGTATTCTTGCCTGGAGAATCTCATAGACATAGACAAATCTCATAGACAAAGAAGCCTGGCAGGCTATAGTCCATAGGGTCACAAAGAGTCAAACAAGACTGAAGGGACTTAGCATGCAGCACGCATGCACGTAACTTACATAATATTGTACATCAACTATATGTTAATAAAAAAGAAAATAATCTTACAGAATTGTTTTTATACATAGTCTTTAATAATCTTTCTCTATCATATTGTGCATCCTATCATTTTCTCTCTTCTTACTCATTTGCCTGACTTAATAGGCTGAAAAATGCTAGAACATACCCAAAAAACATATATACCTCAACACTAGAACACACACATACCCCAATGCTAGAACACACACATACCCCAATGCTGAACACATACATACCCCAACAGAAGAACACATACACATGCCAAAGCTAGAACACATACATACGCCAATGCTAGAACACATACATACCTCAA